GCCGGCCCTGCCTGGCCCGCTCAGCGCGTTGCGCTAGAATGATGGCATCAGTCCGGTGCATCACTGGAGGGGCCTGGCCAGGGCAGGGGCAAAAGAGCAGGAGAGTACAAGGAAAAGCTTACAGCTAGGGTGGAAAGCTGAGCAAATAGCCACGAAGGATGCCCTGGGGTACCGTTCCCCTGGGACATGCGGGGGCCCAAGCCCTGCCCGGCACCGGAGTGACAGAAGGAGCCCAAGAGCAGTCTCAAAGGAGGCCAGAGATTGCCAAAGAGCACCGTGCGGCTGGGCAGGGCAGGGCCTCTTTGTCTCCCAGGGGATGGCATCCCTGTTTCCGGACAGGGCGTATGGCAAGTCTCAGAGCGTCTCTCCCCTCCCCCACTTACCTCCTCCACAGACGCTGGACGCATTCGGGACAGGATCTCAGCCAGAATCAGCCCTCGCTCTTTGATAGCACTGTTCTGCTCCAGGAGGAAGTATTTGGGGATCGGCACCTCCAGGTCTGCCTGGGGGGGGGGGGGGGCGGGCAGCAGGAACAATGGAGGATCAAGAACTGACAGCCTGGGCCATCGGGCTGACCCCTTGTTGCTGTCCGCTTCTCACATGTTCCCTCCTGCCGTTTCCCTCGGTTCCAGAGCCCTGGCATGGGACGCTCCCAGAATATGAGGTAGACCTGCCCCCAGGGTCGTCCCTCTCTTTCCTGGTTCCCAGTGTCTGGCCAGGGCTGAGTTCCAGAGCATCATGGGAGGGGGCACGGGTCCCACACCAGGCTGCACATCAGAATCCACTGGGAAGCTCTGAAATGCACATTCTTAGGCCTTCCCTTAGCCTTGGGAGGGCAGGGCCTGGGGAATCTGCTTTTCCTCCATTGGAAGAAACCTTGACACCGCCTTGCACAGGGGAGCAAGGACTGAGCCCAGAGCTGGGGGCAGGACTGGAGGCTGGAACAGGCAGGTGTGCAGATGTTCGGGGTCTGGTGCTCAGCCAGCAAGTCTGCATTTCCAACCAGCTCCCAGATGAGGCGGGTATCACTGGCCCTAGGACCGCACCTGTGGGATCCCACCACTCTCCTTTGGCCCTGGGGGTTGGGGCCCTAGGCCCGGGTCTCCATCCACCTCCGGAGTTCCTCCACGCACCGGGCTTCCCAAAGCCTCTCTCAGAGGGACCAACTCCACCTTCCGATGTCCCCCACCCTCCTTTCCTGGCAAATGAGTGCGCGCGCGCGCAAGTGTCACAGCCCGCCCCAACTCCACTGGCCGGGGCGTGGCTCCACGGGGTGGGGGGGGGGGGGGGGGGGGGGGGGGGGGGGGGCCAGACCCGGGGCCCCGCCCCGGGGGGGGGGGGGGGGGGGGGTCAGGGGGGGTTGGTGGGGACGGGGGAGGTTTTGTTTGGACAGGGGGGGGGAGAGGTCAGGGAGGTGGGGGTCGTGGGGGGGCTTTTTCACAACACTTCAATGAGACTTGGTACGACCCTGATGGCCTCCCTGTCTGTAGGTGTGAACTGTCTGTTGAACCGTGTGGTTTGCTCGAGACTCTGCCCCGGGCCCCAGGTAGTGCAGGTAGAGCGACGAGATCCTGTACTGCAAGGACTGCCGCTCCCGGTCGGGCACGGGTTCGAGCAGGGGCTGCTCGCGGTCCAGCAGCTCTTGCAGGGTCACGTGGGAGGAGTCCCAGAGGCGTTGGTAAGCGCTGGAGAGAGGGCAACGCACCGCGGGCTCGCAGGCGCCTGGCCGGGGACAGCGGGCGCGGGAGACCGGCCCCGGCGAGCTTGGGGTGTGCCGTTCCTCGCGGCACCCAAGTGGACCTCAGTGAAGTGAGGGGGACCCCGGGGAATGGGACTCAGAGAAGCAAGAGCCCTAGGACGGAGTCTTGGGGCCCCGCTGCTGGATTAGCGAGGAGAGGAAAGGGTGAGCCCTGAGTTAGGGAGTTGGGAGGAAGGCAGCCCGGGCTGGGTCCCTCCAGGGGAACCTGCTGCCTGCGGAGGCTGCAGTGGCCTGGGGTGGGGGTGGGGTGGCAGGTGAGTTAGAGGAAGGGGCCCTTGCGCAGGGCAGAGTCCTGGTTCTGGAACTAACAACCAGAGGGGAGTCTGAAGAACCCGCAAGGCAGCCCGGGAGCTGAGTGATCCCTGGAACCCAGCAAGAGCGGGCCCAGTGCCCACCGCCGCCCAGCCCCCTGGCTCCCAGGGCGGGGAGCACCTTTGCTTTTGACTTCCCCAGCCATGATGCTCCACCCCAGCCGCTCTCTCACCCCTCAGACATGGCTCCTGCTCCTCCTCACTGCCCTTTGTGAGCTGACGGTGGAATGCACAGATTCTCTGTGGTTCTAGCCTGACCCCACCCTCCAAAGCCAGGGGCCAGAACGGCCTGGTTTTAAGAGTTCTGACCCATTGTGCCAGTGTTCTAAGGCTGAGGAGAGGGGGCTGGAGGGTGCAGGATTGGGGACATTTAGCCAGGAGGACTTCCTGGAGGCGGCATGACGACTGCAGGGCGTGAGGAGCAGCAAGCTTTGGAAGGTTAGAGCAGAGCATGCGTCAACTGCCGTCACTTCTCTTGTGAGGACCAAATGAAAATCACGTTCTGTGTTAGGTCACCTGGAAGTGGTGAGGCTCCGGAAGACTATGGATCCCTAAGGCATCACTCCGGCTGCAGCTTCCCAGCCACGGGAATCCTCTATTCCTTAGCGCAGGCCCAGTCTCCTATTCTGCACACCCACCTCGACTCTTGACACACTGGAACCGGGAGGCCGTGCACTGGGGTCAGAAGGGCGTCATGGCCCAGCCTCCCCCCAGTCGTGAGTCAGCGCAGCCCTGTCGACCTCGTGGGATCTGCCGTGACCCAGGCCCATGGCAAGGATTACACTGGTGGGGTGGATGCTGCTCGGGGGCTCTGGGCTTGTTCTCAGCCCTCGTAGGCATCCCCCACCATTGCTGCAGGCTCAGGGGGCCATTCTATGGAAAACGCAAAATGTGATACCGGCAGCAGCCTGACTCTGTTCAGCTGGGGTAGGGGGTGGGAGGAGGCGAGCTGATTAGCTCAGGGTTAAGTAGGAGCTCATGGGGGCTGGTGCTGTGGCGTAGTGGCTAAAGCTGCAGGCACAGGCATCCCACACAGGCACTGGTTTGAGTCCTGGCTGCTCCACTTCCCATCCAGCTCCCTGCTAATGGCCTGGAAAAAGCAGCGGAAGATGATCCAAGTGCTTGGGGCCCTGGACACACGTGGGGGACCTCCAGGCTTCGGATTGGCTTGGCTCCAGCCATCTGGGGTGTAAACCAGTGGATGGAAGATCTCTCTCCCTCTCTCAGATTTTTTTTAAAGCAGGAGCTCATGAATAAATAAATAAGAAAGGGGGCTAAGGAAGGCAGCAGAAAAGAGGAGAAATGCCCAGACTTTGACGTGCTTATGAATTAACTACAGATCATGCTCCATCTGAGATGGGCCCAAGAGCCTGCATTCCTTGATTTTAAATATTTTTCACTTTTTATTTGAAAGACAGAGATAGAGATCTTCCATTCATTGGTTAACTCCCCCCAAATACGTGCAAAAGCTGGGGCTGGGCCAGGCTGAAGCCAGGAGCCGGGAACTCCATCTGGGTGGCCGGAACTTGAACTATCACCTCCTGTCTCTCAGCATTAGCAGGAAGCTGGACTCTGCCACGGGGCTGGGACTCTAACCCGGGCACTCTGATATGGGATATATCTTATATATTTTAAGATTTTATTTATTTGAGAGAGTTACAGACAGAGAGAGGGAGAGACAGAGAGACAGATCTTTATCCGCTGGTTCACTCCCCAGCTGGTCACAATGGCTGGGGCTAAGCCAATCTGAAGCCAGGAGCCAGGAGCTTCTTTTGGGTCTCCTACACAATTGCACATGTCCAAGCACTTGGGCCATCTTCCACTGCTTTCCCAGGCCATAGCAGGGAGCTGGATCAGAAAAGGAGCAGCTGGGACTCGAACCGGTGCCCATATGGGATGCTGGTGCTGCAAGTGGAGGCTTAGCCTACAATGCCACAGCACTGGCCCTCTTTATTTTTTAAATGTAGATGGCCCTGGGTGTGGTGACTTTTTTTAAAGGTTTTATTTGAAAGGCAATCTGACAGAGTGAGAGAGTCAAAGAGAGAAAGATCTTCCATCTGTTGGCTCACTCTCCGAACAGCTGCAGTGGTCAGGTCTGGGCCAGGCCAAAGCCAGGAGCTAAAAACTCTATCTGGGTCTCCCACGTGGGTGGCAGGGGTCCAAGTACTTGGGTCACCTCCTGCTGCTTTCCCTGGTGCATTAGCAGAGAGCTCGACTGGAAGTGGAACAGCCGGGTCTCCAACTAGTACTCTGATATGGGATACTGCTACACCACAACACACACACTTACACACCAGCAGCATCTTAACCACTGTGACAAGGCCCTGCCCCAGGAGCCTGCTTCTCTAGCCAGCTCCCAGGTGATGTGGCTGCTGTGGGTCCAGTAACCACACCCATTGAGTGGCAAGGTGTGAAACGAAGCAGCAGAGTGGGGGAGGAGGGAGGCCCAGATCTGCGGGGTCTACCCCACTTCAGGCGCAGGAATCAAGCCTGGATCATTAGGTTCTCAGCTCAAGGTATCTGCTGCGAGGCGTGAGGCGTGAGAAGACACATGTAAAAGGTGCAACGGCACAGCCCAATGGCCGCCATCAAAACAAGGCGCTACGTTGTTAGTACATGAAGGGGATGATGACAGCAAGCCGAGTCCATCCACATAAAAAGGGAACGTGAAGAATTTTAGGTTTGTTTGAATACCACCCCTTCGCTGGACTCTCGCCACACTTGGGAGGGGATTTAGGGGTCATGTGTTTACAACACAGAGCAGAGAATGAATGAGGAAAAAAAATAATGCGTAGCCAAACATTAAGTGGCAAGTCTAGTTGGAGGACACGTATAAATGACATCTTGCATTTCCTGAATGTCCATGTTGCAAAATAACATTGGGGAAGAAATGTCTCCAAAACATACCACTGACTTGTTCTGAAGCCAGGGGGAAAGAAGACGTCAGGGGGAAATGGACAATCCTGATCTCCGCAGGTTCTCTAGGGGCCGGTCTGCATCTTAGAGAGCGGATCTGTGTAGCCCCTTCGCCCAGCGCAGCGCCTGTCATCCAGAGTGGAACAGCAGCTGGCGGGAAATGGGCATCACAAAGGCATAGCAATGGCCACCCAGAGAGGGAGACGCCAGCAGTAAACCCGGGCTCTGGTCCTCATGCCAAGCCCTACTTCAGCTCCCTACCAATTAGACCAATTTACATTCACAGTTACCGTCACATGTTGCTCGCGGATGTGGTTTTTACAGAACAGGAAGCGCGTGCTGTTCACTGGTTAGTCTCAAAAGGTGAGAGTCCCGTTGCCACAGGCCGTGGCCTCCTTCACCTAGCCCTCTTTGCAATCAGCACAGTGCACAGGAATAGCTCATCCTTTATTCGGGTCAGGCCCCAGGTCACTTGGAGCTGGTGTACTTGGTGACGGCCTTGGTGCCCTCAGACACAGCGTGCTTGGCCAGCTCCCCAGGCAGCAGCAGACGCACGGCCGTCTGGACTTCCCGGGAGGTCAGTGTGCTGCGGCCCGAGTACTGGGCCAGCTGGGCAGCCTCGCCAGCCAGTCGCTCAAAGACATCGTTCACAAACGAGTTCATGATGCTCATGGCCCTGGCGGAGATGCCGATGTCAGGGTGCACCTGCAGAAGCAGCGGCACCACTGTTAATGGGGGCAGGGGGCTCTGCCTGCACCGCAAGCCTTGGGCCCAAGCCGGGGGCTCCAGGAAGCCAGGGGCAGCGGGCAAGGCCAAGGCAGACAGACATGGAAACAGGGGATTGTGTTTTCTCTTTACTACAATCCCCAAGTTGTTTTTGATTTTACAGTTTCTTTCTCTTTATCTTTTGCCAGGCAGAGTTAGACAGTGAGAGAGAGAGACAGAGAGAAAGGTCTTCCTTCCGTTGGTTCATTCCCCTAATGGCCACTACGGCCGGCATTGCACCAATCCGGAGCCAGGTGCTTCCTCCTGGTCTCCCATGCGGGTGCAGGGACCTGGGCCATCCTCCGCTGCCCTCCTGGGCCACAGCAGAGAGCTGGACTGGAAGAGGAGCAACCAGGACAGAACCTTCGCCCCAACAGGGACTAGAACCCAGGGTGCCGGCACCGCAGGCGGAGGATTAGCCAAGTGAGCCACGGCGCCGGCCTGCTTTTACAGTTTCTGAGAGGTAACTACCCAAGCCTGCACTCCCTGTACAAGCGCATAAAAACATCTGTATTTAACAAATGGGATCAGTCGTGCGGGCATCTGGCCTTTTCCATTTCATGCATTTTGCATGGTGTTCCATGGTATGGAGGATTTGCAGTTTATACCATGCCTCTCAATGGACATCGAGGGCTTTGCCTTTTCTCTTGTTCTGTGCTACAGCAAACGTACCCCCTCAGAACGCCCTGTGAGCACACTGAAGGCTGCTCCTGGGGCGGGGTAAGGGGTTGTGCACTTAACCCAGCAGACAGTGCGCAATTACTTGCCAAGAGCATATCCACACGGCCCAAGGACCAGGCAGCAGGAAGCCTGTGTTCTGTGCCTGTGCCATGAGTCACTATGGGCTTTTGAACTAGGCGATCTCTACTTAAACAGTGACATCCTCCAACATGAGTATATAAACCTCGCCAGGAGAGAGGTGACAGCCAGCTTGCTCGCTGAGCCAGTGGTGGGGACAGAACTAGAGCCAGGCTCCTGGCCGCCTGCAGCTGCGCGCAAGGTGTGTTTAGCCCCAGTCCCCTCTGTCCTTGTGTCCCATGCTCCATGGGGCTGCGGGAGTGAGAAACTCAGTCCGCTCAGCAAGGCGCACAGGCTCACTCTCAGCGGCACTTTCTGGAGCCAGGACTGCCCCCGCTAAGCCACAGGGCTCAGTGGCACCTGCTCCACCCCACTTTCTTCACCTCCCCCATCTTCTGGTGCTTCCCTTCTGGCCAACCCCCGGCACCCAAGGCTGTCAATTCACTAAGACCGCTCATAGGATTCAAGCTGGAGAGCGGCTCCACCCTGGGACCTAATCTACAGCAACGGGAGGATATAAGGCAGGCTGGAGAGCCCCGGGGAGGTGGGGGCCCCGGCTGTGCCCCGTAGGCTGCAGGCTCTGAGCTAAGGCCAAGTTGCTTCGGATCAGATTGGCCTGTGGGTATCAGGAGTAGCTGCTCCTCATGGATGAACACAAGGCACCCGAGCCCACGTTAGAGGAAAGGGACGCACAGCAAGGAAGCTCCTCAAAGGGCCAGGGCGCTCATTTTTGCCACAATGTGTTCAGCACCCAGTCGCCTTCAGCCTAGCACAGAAGTGTGTTCTTGCGCTAACGTTCCGCGTGATCATCTCAGCCACCCCAAAGCCCTGTACATTTCCTGGATCAGGGAGGCAGCGTGTTTACACGCCTCCTGCCAGTCACAGGTGCACAGGGTACTGAGAGGCACAGACGCCTCTCGGATCAGCTCAGCCGCCCCAGGGCCTGCCCTGGTGCCAACACTAAGCCAAGTCCCAGCTTCCAGGCCCGGGCCTTTCCTGGGCGTCAGCCCATGTGCCTCCCACACGTCCGTGCACCACACCCCCTCACCTGCTTCAGCACCTTGTAGATATACATTGAGTAGGTTTCCTTGCGCTTGCTACGCTTTCTGGACTTCTTGTTCCCAGAGCTGCGGCCCCTGCGGCTGCTGGCCTGCTGCTGCTGCTGCCCACGCTCCGCGCTCATCCTCCTGCTCCTAAGACCAGCTCCACTCACACCTAGGAGCCACTTTTACGAAGTCAGCTGCCCTGCCAGGTGGGGCTGGACGCCAGCACCTGGGGTGGGAGGGGAGGGGCTTGGCTCAACTCCATCCAGAATGTGCTCAGGGTTAATCTTGAAAGAGGCTAATTGCTCTCTCTTCTCCCCCCTCCCCTGGGTAATTTCCTATCTATGAGTTAAGAAACCCTGCACCGGACCCTCTTCCCCGACTCAGCCACCTCCCGGTGAATGTACACAAAGTTCACACAACTCCAGAGAATCACTCTGGGCTCAGCATGGCTCAGAGCCGGGGAGAGGAGGGTTCAGGACCCCAGGCTCCCGCCCCCAAGGAGCCCTGCAGCAGCACTGAAGAACCACAAGAGTGGTTCGCATTAAGAAATTAGGGGAGACTACAGCTGGAGGGCTGCCACAGCCAGAGGCGGCTTCATGGAGTAAGTGGGTGCTGGCTGGCTGCGATTTCACTGGGGAGGGTGGGGGGAAGTGAAAGGGCATGAAAAGCAGAAAGTGGAATCAGTGCTTGTGGCATGGAGGGAGGCTTGGGCTGACGGCAGGTGGGGCAGAGTGGCTAGGAAGCTAGAAGCACACAAAGAATGGATGTTCACTTCTGTGTGGGGTCCTTGTGGAAGAGGGCTGCATAGGGAAGAAAAATGTTCACTGTCTCACTTAGTACCTATGTGTGAACAAACATTTCAGGTTTTTTGTTTTGAATGCTGTGATTAAAGAACAGGAAGAGTGGATGCACAGACAAGCGTCCCCTGCCAGTGTGTGAAAGCAGGAGATCCCACTTCACTGCGCTTACCTCCCCCTCCAGTTCTGAACATCCGGTTACAAGGGACATGCTAAGGTGTTTGAAGGCCAGGAGGAGGGCAGGTGTTGTGGCACAACAGGCTAAGCCTGGGACACCCACAGCCCACATTCTTATCGGAGTGCCAGCTGATAAGCCCGTCTCCTGCCAATGCACCTGGGAAGGCAGCAGACGAGGCCCAGGTAGCTGGGGCCCTGACACCCACGTGGGAGGCCCTGATGGAGCGCACACACAGGCTTCAGTCTGGGCTAGCTCTGGCTGTTGCAGGCATCTGAGGAGTGAATACGCAGATGGAAAATCTATCACTCTGTCCTTCAAATAAATTAAAAAGGTCCTGAGGGCGATTCTGAATCCAAAATAAGGGAGTGCTCATCTTATTTAAAGATTTATTTATTTGAAAGGCAGAGTTGGGACTGGTGGTGTGCCATAGTGGCTAAGACTGCCACCTGCCATGCCAGCATCCCACATGAGTGCCGGTTCAAATCCCGGCTGTTCCACTTCAGATCCAGCTCCCTGCTAATGTACCTGGGAAAGCAGCAGAGGATGGCCCAGGTGCTTGGGCCCCTACACCCATGTGGAAGAAGCTCCTGGCTTCGGCCCGGCCCAGCCCCACACTGTTGCAGCCAGTTGGGGAGTGGACCAGTGGATGGAAGCTGTCTTTCCCTCTCTCTGTAACTATGCCTTTCAAATAAAAATAAATCTTTTTAAAAAGAGAGTTGTAGAGACACTGATCTTGCATTCACTGGTTTATGCCCCAAACGGCTGCAACAGCTGGGGCCAGGCCAGGAGCCTGCAACCCGTCGGTCTCCTACACGGGTGGCAGGGGCCCAAATGCTTGGGCCATCTTCTGCTCCTTTCCCAGCTGCGTTAGCGGAGCACTGTATTTGGGAGTAGAACAGCCAGGGCTCAAACAGGTACTCACATGGGATGCCAGCATTGTAGGCAGTGGCTTAACCCACCACAGCACTAAGTAGGCCTCATAATTTTAGAAATGTGTATTTTGTGGCCTTAAGTGTGCTTCCAGTGATAAATCTGGGTGCTGAAGGCCTGTCCCTTAGCACCTCAGCTACAGGGCTCCGAAGGCCCTAACAGACTGGATCTTAGTCTCAGTGCGCGGGCCCCCTTGGCCGTGGCGGTGGGAGTCGTCCTCGCTCCCATGATCCCAGCAGCTCGCTCCGCAGACGCCATCCTCCCGCAAGCAAGGTCCTGTATGCTTAGGACAGACTGTCTTAGGCCATTTGGCTCCAGGCCCCTCATGGTGGAGCAGAGGACCTGTCTCAATGGCAGCCCCTCACCACGTGCTGGTGTTCCCTCTGCCCAGCGCAGCTCTGGGACTTCTCCCGCGGCGGGAAGCCCCTACTCTTCTTCCAAGTCAGAGCACCAATCCCGCCTTCATGGGCAGCTACTCAGGAGAAACTCCCTCCCTTTGGTGTCTCCTACCATCTAAACCAGAATTCAGCACTGATCCACGTCTCCACTGTCTTGTTCTCAAGTCTTACTGGCTTTCCCTGAGCTCACGAGTTCCTTGGGGGCTGAGACACCCTCTGGGAGCATTTCCCAGTATTAGATACACTCAATGAGCACTGAAAGACCAGGGCTCTGCCTGCCCACGGGGATGGCTCTGAGGGTTCCGAGGCAGAGTGATGAGCCCACGGGTAAAGCTGGCCACAGACACGCCCCCGGCACAGGGCTAGCAGTGTATCCAAGTTCACAAGTAGACAGGCTGCATAGAACCCTGGGCGGAAGCTGGACTGTGCTGATGGGAAGTCAGGCTCGGGGCAGGTAAGATAAAACTTCCTGCACCACACGGCAGCGGCCATTCAGCGTGCGAGCTCCTGGCCTTGTCTGCATCCCTCCCACTCCACTGATGGAACCAACAGGCCTGGTGCTCAGGAATGTGCACAGCCCAAGTGCTGTGGCTCAGGTGCCAGGGGAGACCCAGAGGCAGAGGCGGGCCCCCCGCGGAGCCCTCTGGGTGATTCATTCATGTGTAAGTTTGTGAACCAATCAGCAGAAGAGGGAGAAAGTTCCTTCCGCCCCTATGAGCTCACTACCAGTGCCCCTCCCCCACCCACCCCCCGCCCGGGGGAGGGGAAGGCAGCCTCAGAGAGCTGAGAAGGCGGGGAGCATGGCTTCCTCTTTCTTTATTGGACACGTTGTAGATGTCACGCAGGTCTAAAAGTTACACCGTTAAATATTTAAAAACCGACCAGGACTAAGACCCTGGCCCAGAGCTCCAAACCCGAAGCAAAAAGGAATGGTAGCGGTGGGCTGGGGGGTATTCCTCCAACATCACCAAAACCCAGAAAACAAGGATCTTAGGCTCCTTCGCAGACCAAACCCAGGGCTCGGGCCCCTAGGCTAACCCTCAGGTGCCTCTGGCTGCATCACTCTCGGGGTAAGTAACCAGCAAGGGGCTGGAGGGAACAGCCAGCCAAGTCCAGACGCGGCCGAATGTAACTGGAAGGAGGAGAGGAAACGGACAGCTACTGTCCAGCTGTAGGTAAGATAACAGAGAGCAGCTAAGGCAGGCCGAGGGATGGGGAGAGGCTGGGAGCGGTATTGCAGCAATGCAGGAGTGTAGCCCAGGGTCCTGTCCTGAGTAGCTGGTCAGGGTAGCAGCTGTTAGTCCCCGGATGGAGCTCCTGACCCACGCCTGGCCGAGGGCTCACACGTTGTGGGTCCTCTTGGTGAGCTGGGGCTCCTCATCTACCAACTTGGACTTGAGGTGCTCCTTGTAGGCCAGGATGTCTCCAGGCCACTTGGTGATTGTCTGCTTCTCACAGACCCAAATTTCCTGTGCAACCTAGAAAGCAAATCCTGCACTTAATCCCGGCAGCCACTTCCCCAGCCCTCACCCATCACCTGAGGAGCTTCCGGAAGAAAGCTCCTCCCTCCCTCTCCCCAGGCCCCTCCCCAGCTCAGTCTCACCTCTTCGGGAAGGCCTAACCCACAGGTACCAGAGCAGCAGGCCCCAGGGCCCTCTCTGTCACCCTGCCATCAGTCCCCAGGAGGGTCTGGATCTGACCAGTGGCCTCACGCACCCAGCTTCCTGTAGCCCACCCCCGTCTCCTCCAAGCTTTGCTGCGGAGTGTCAGCGAAACAGCACCCTGTCTGATCCAGGTCCTCTTAGCAGGGTTCTATTTTTGGACTGAAGAGTCTTGGGAGAGCAGTGAAAGGACCCTGTTCGCTACCCAACTCCTTCCCCGATCTGGGCCAACCACACCAAGTTGCCTGACACCCCAACGGCTACTGAAGAAGGGTCTCGGCCTAGGCTCTCTCTCCAGTAGCCACAAAGAGGCCTAAGATCCAGCCCTCAGTGCCCTCTGTGCCCGACCCCCTTCTCCTAACTGCTTTCTGTGGGGCCTCACCTGCTGAATGAGTCTGAAGTCATGGCTGACCAGCATCATCCCACCCTCAAACTCATTGATGGCGTCTGCCAGCGCGTCGATGGTCTCAATATCCAGGTGGTTGGTGGGCTCGTCCAGGAAGAGCATGTGGGGGTTCTGCCAGGCCAGCCAGGCCAGACACACTCTGCACTTCTGCCCGTCTGACAAGTTCCGGATTGGGCTCACCTGAGTGGAACCATGGCGTGCACAAAACTTAGTTACCCCACCACAAAGCACACTCACCCGCCCCCCCCCCCCCCATCTCTCCCTGGCTCCTCCAGTAGAATTACTGCCATTCTGCTTAGAGAGGCACAAGATCACACAGCCAGACAGCGGCACAGCCACTGAAGCCTGAACGGGACACACCTGCAGACCTGAAGCCATCAGTGAGTTCACCCCGTCACCACTGAAAGCTTAATGAGCTCAAGCAGTCCAGTAGGTGCTCAGCTCCGGAACTGAATCCACGAATTCGCTTTCTAGGCTTCAAGCTCCCTTGCTCTCAGGCACCACGACACGTGGGCACGTCGGAGCCCAGCGCACTCTCCTTGCCCCTCCCCCTACAATGGCACCTCAATGTCCTGGTACGTAAGAGCTAGCGCAAAGGAAAGGCAGCAGCTCTCTTAGGGGCTGGGAGCCAGCAGTGGGGACTCTGGGGACGCTTCCAAAGCCGCAGGGCCAGGCTACGGTGTCCCCGACCCCTCAGCAGCGTCTGCCAGCCACCAGGGCTCTTCCCACAGCCTCTACTACTGACCTGCTGCTTCCCAGTGAGCCCGTACCGCCCGATGATCTTCCTCATCTCTTCCTTCTCCTTGATCTCTGGGTAGCACTTCATCATGTACTCCAGAGGCGAGAGATCCAGGTCCAGCTGCTCTTGTAAATGCTACGCAGAAAATGGAACCCACCCAGACGTGACTCGTGCCCTGCTTCCCAGGGCGCCCGCTGTGCTACCGGCCAGGTAACTAACTCTCTACCTCGACCCAGGCACCTGTTCAGGCTCCAGGGAAGCAGGTAGGTTTGACCAGGTTAGAATTCCTTGGGGGAGGGCTGGGACTTGGCCAGATGCGACCCCACCCCTAGGTCTGTACCTGATGGTAACGCCCTATCTTGACGTGAGAATGTTTCCGGATCATTCCGTCTGTAGGTAGTAGCTAGGAAGAAAAAGAGCAGGTGTCAACGTAAGCTTACAAAAAGGAAATCTGGGGCAGAGCAGGGCAAAAAAACACGTCCACACTGAACAGGACACGACTTCAAAACCCAATCTACAGGAACAACTCAGACTGCTGTCTGGCCACTCTAACATTTAGGAAGATACGCTGAAACCTGGTGTTGAGAGAGGCAAAGACCCACGAGATACAATTTGCTACGTGGTTAAGAACTGTCTGCCACAGAAGGTACTATGTAACAGAGCCCATGGATATAGCTACCATACACCTCTTGTAAAATAGAAACCTACCTCCACACACAGATGTCCCTGCATTCTGAATGCTGACTGAAAACAGAAAACACTGACACACACACACTGTCCTCTGACTCCTCCTACCCCACCTCCACCCAGATAAAACCGCTCAGCCGCGACATTCTGTCTCATCCCCAACCCCCAAGTGGCTCACTCGGCACCAGGGCCCTGTGCCCCTAAATAACTTCACTGCAGACAACCCAAGCGCCCACTCCTGCAAGCAGCCACAGCCCGCCTCGGGGCCCTACCTCTCCAGTCAGCAGCTTCAAAAGAGTTGACTTCCCTGCTCCATTGGGCCCTACCAGAGCCACTCGTGTGTCGAGGTCGATACCAAATTCTAGATTATTGTAGATGCAAGGCTGAAATGGGTACAAGAGAAGCACACACAGGCGAGGGTATGGATCCACTCTGCCTGGCAGAGCAGCCCGCTGAGTCCCCCGTGGCCGGCTGAGGTGAGGAGAGGGGGAAGGAGGCACGCGCAAAAGCAGACCCCACCCACTGGACCCGCCCCGCCCATCCAGCTGAGCGCTTTCCCTTCCCACTGCTCGAAGGAGGAGGAGGCACCCCAGCTGCCACAGCTGAAAATCCCCCACACCAATGGGGCAGGAGTGGTCGGCCAGGAAGCAGAGAGGCTCCCACCAGCCAGTGCTCACTCTGTGGGGTACATGCTGGCTTCCCAGGCAGACACAGCCCTGGCCTGAACTTACCCCATCTTTTGTGTACTTGAAGCTCACGTTTTGCACCATGATGACAGGCGGTGGGATCTTGCCACATGGTGGGAAGTAAAACGACAGTGTCTAGGGAGGCAAGAGGGCATGCATCAGGCTGGCTCCTTTCTCCTCCGCGTACCTCAGGCCACCTCACCCCGTCGGCCCGCACCTTGTCGCTCACGACCCTCTCTGTTAGTCCCGACGCCATCATCTTCTGTAGCGTCTTCTCCTTGCTCTGGGCTTGCCGGGCCAGCTTTGCACTGCCATGACCAAACCTAGCGATGTAGTTCTGAAAGAGACCAGAAAGGGGGGCTTGGAGCGTGTGCAGGCACCAAAGAACCATCTTGAAATCCAGGGTGAAGCGTGACGACCACGGCTTCTTCCGGTTCTCCTCCACCTCTCTGACTGCCTGGGTCGGGAGGGCTCGGCCCCGCCCCTACCTTCATGTGCGCGATCTGATCTTGCTCCCAGTGGAACCTCTTCATCTGGTTCTCCTCCAGCTCCAGCCGTGTCTTTACGTACTGATCATAGTTACCCTGCAGGGAAACACAGGGTGGGCAGCTTCAACCTGGCTCTCAGAGCTTAGGGAGATGAGGTTGGCCGTGATTGGGCCCTGCCTATGAGGGTGTGCAGTAAACAGAGGGTGAGCATTAAAGCAGCGCATCCTAACCTAGAACGCGCGGTCTTTTTGATTCTGGGCCTCCTGCTCAGGCCAGCGAGGACCGGGCTCCAGAGCAAAGCCTTAGATTAGCCAAAAGAACTCCCACAGTATTGTGGTCAGCCCTGAAACACGGACATTACGATGTACAGTGCCTTCCAACACGGCCACCTACTGCTCCCCAGTCCCAGAGGCTGACGGCCCACACAAAACTGCAAGAGCTGTCCTCTGAGGGCAGATAGGCCATTCAGATTCAGTGCCAGGCAAACCCTGCAAACCGCCATGGTTTCTATCTGCAAACACCTGGCCATAAGCTAAATATCCACAAGTCAGAGGACAGCCACACCATTTAGTATCTATTGCACAGCTGCTTGAGAGTGAGGCTGATTCATACACATACACTCACATGGAAATGCAATCTAGGGAACAGAATGATTAAGATCACAACTGTGGGGACAGCGCTGTGGCATAGTGGGCAAAGCCACCACCTGCAGTGCCGGCATCCCATATGGGCACCAGGTTGAGTCCTGGCTGCTCCACTTCTGATCCAGCTCTCTGCTATGGCCTGGGAAAGCAAGAGCATAGTCCTCGGGCCCCTGCACCTGCATGGGACACCCAGAAGAACCTCCTGGCTCCTGGCTTCAGATCGGCCCAACTCTAGCCATTGTGGCCATTTGAGGAGTGAACAGCGAATGGAGGACCTCTCTCTCTGTAACTCTGCCTTTCAAATAAATAAATAAATCTTTTTTTTTTAAAAAAAGCACCCATTTATTCAAAAAAAATT